TAAAGACTTCATGTAAGCACAAACAGCCAAATATTACAGTACAACTTTAACTTAGTATTTCACAACTCATGACACATACAAATGTTCCTGAAGTGCTAGAAGTCCTGTTTTTTACTTATCCCACCCAAAAAAAAAAAGCCCTATAATCAGACTTAGACATCCTGATGTCACGTTCCCTCCCTCCCCAAAAACCTGATAAATTACTCTAACTTACCAGCTCCCAAACATAATGAAACCTGCTAAAGATTTGCATCTTCCTGCCTCGGTGATGCCTGCAACGCCTTGTCGAGTTAAAGACAACATACATTCCCTCAGTCTTTTCTGACCAAGCTACAGTGTAATCACATTTTCCTTCAGGTTTGGAAACAGCTGCAGAAAATCCAACTGTCTTTTCCAATGAATCTAGACTTATGCTTTGAAGACATACACAAGTATGACAGGAGAACTCCTTTGGATAATTTATTGTGCTACACTCTCAGTCCAAATTGTCTCAAATACTGAGTCTTTAGTGTCATTTTTAATGGCCTCCTTGACTGACTTCCACCTTAATAGAGCAGATGAAGACCCAAGAGTGTAAGAGTATACAGACAAACGTTTAATATTTCCCTAACTATACACAGCAGACAACAAATGGGGGGGCAGGGGGAAGGAGGGAAGTAAAGCTTCTATATACTTTATTCATACAACTTCATTGATGAAGTTGTGGTCAGGAAAAAGATGAACAAACAATACCAACACCACCCCCCTCCGCTTAATTTAAATTAAAAGAATAAAAGTAGGAAAAGGAACCAGATAAGGCGTGCCTGATCCTATAGTCTCTGCTGTCTTATAATTAAAGAAGAAAAGCAGTCACATTATAGTTTATTTTTATCTTGGCTCATGGAAAAGTTTAGTGAATCACAAAAAATAATCAGGGGGCGGAGAGAAATACATCCATATCTTTCCAGTGTCCTGCATAAGAGAATCACATGTTAATAAACCCAGTCACTTTATGTGATTCAGAATTTTGTATTCCTAAAGCAGCTGATAAAAACTGAACTTTAAACATCATTTACTAGTTAGGTGTTAGGACTAAAGTACATTTCACCTCATCAGAACTAAGAAAATTAAGCTAGTATTATGAAAGTTACACTGAAGCATGTATCACGCATTTCTTTCAGATTTGAAGGAAGGAACATCTATGGCTTCTATTCTGATACACACATTTCAAGGTTGGCCAGCTACTAGAAGAGAAACATGTAGAAGTGTTATGTAAGTGAAGTGTACAGAGCACTTTCATGCCTTTTTTTCCTCCTTTTTCTTCAAATGTTCATGAAGGATAGCAAACCAGCTGGCAATGGAAAAAACAACTTTCGTTTCCACAATTAATACTAATCTGGTAGGTCATAGAATACTTACTAATCTTGAGAGTGTATTATGAATGTGTTTTCATATGAACTTATCAATTTATCACACATGCTGGATTCATTTCATAGCTTGCATGTTTTCTATTTCTCTGCATATAATTTTCTTGTTACCAGAACATAAACCTCCATACTTTTCAGCAGCAGAGTTTTCAATTTACTTTTGATATGAAGATTGCTAGCAGGTCATAAAGCTATTCAAGCCATTTTACCAGTAAATCTTAGAGAGAGTGTGAGTACCAGCATTTTAACATTGAATATGTATTCAATATGTTTTTTACTTTAGAGAAGCAGAATTTTTAAAGTTTTAAAAAAGGCAGTAAATGGGGGACCAAAAGTACCAAAGAAAACACTAATCTGAAAAGTTACTCCAGCGTATACTAAAACAGAAGACACTAATTGTGTAACCCCTCTGTTTAGAAAGTTGCTTCCATTCCCATCCCATCAGCAGGAGATGTTTGTCATGCTTAAGTTGAGGTCCCTTGAGGAAGGGCTTAAAACAACAACAGACAAAACAAGTAACACAAAGTTTACAGTCCAAGACAAAGTGAAAGAAGGTGAGATAGTCATTGAGCATACGAGTCACTTGAAACACTGGTACATCTTTGTTTTTTGAGACAGGACACAGTTCACATTACTTCTCAACAGCAGCTCTGGTTTATGACTGTAGTAGCATCTGGTTTCCTATCACCTTGTTTACTGAAGACATTAAAAATTTTCAAATCATTCTCACTCCAGCTGTCTCCTAGGCAGTTCTTCAGATGCAGATTTTTTTAAAATGAAAAATGGATTTGAATACAACAAAAACTATCTGAAGTTCAATGCAAATGTTTTTCCTGTATTGTTTCCCTCATTTTAGAGCAAAACATTAGCTCTGTCAAAACCAAAAAGCCATAATGTTATTTACAGGTTCAATCAATTTTTAAATTATTTCTTAATTCAGCATGTTTCTACAGCAATGGGCTGCAAACTGCTCAGAAAACAAGAGTTATAAGTCATAAGTGATACTGACACTGTGACACCACTCTTTGATATTAATCTTTCCCTATAAAAACTTTTTTCCCAAAAAGTTCCCAGAATGATCATGACATTTCTAGATTAATTCATAGTATGTGTTGCTTCAGATTAATACAAGAAAAATAATTTCTTACACTAAAAAAAAAATGTTTCTTGCATATTTGCTGAGTAATTAGAAACACAAAAACTAAACCCCACAAAAAAAACAGGTATCAGTTCTCTTAACATAGAAATCAAACTACAGTGGTGACCAAGCCCTTCCATGACTTTTGTATTAGCCTCTCAGGTAACAGCCTAATTAAATAGGATGATGTTTATAAACAAAAGTGAGATGAGTTAATTAGTGTAATCATTCTGCATGCATATGCACATATATGCAAACACAGGTAGTGGGTGGGTAGGTGTGTGCACATGTGCACTTACCTATACATTTCAGAAAAGGAACTGTTCTTTATCCACACAATGAAGAAAAGGCATTATTCTGAAGCATTAGATTAAAACTTCAGTATATTAAATACATATATATCTTATGGAGTATTCAACACAAGAAGCAGAAGTTTCCGTAGTTACAAAACATGGAAGGATTTGGCACTGGAAGATTTGGGAACATATGCCTAAGAGGAAGCCCAGTGGAAAGCAACATGACAAGCCATGAGAAGAGAACAGAGAACAAGGTTGCCATCCTGGTCAGGTTGACCAGATGACAAATAATGATATAAAGAACAAGATCCAAGGTCTAATGTAGTTCAAGATTCTGAAATCCTGATGAATTGGAAGCAAAATTGTTGGGAAGGTTGGGAGGAAAAAAAAAAAAAAAAGAGGAAGAGACAAAAAAAAAACCCCAGACAACAAAATTTGAGTAAGAAACCAAGAAAGTTATTTGACAAGCTATAAGAGGAATCTCCAATAAAGCATGTCCTCCAAAGCCTACATGCATTAATCTAGGTAATACCATCACAAAAATGCACCAATGACTTGATTAATAAGAACAGGAGACAACATGTTCAACTTGAAACACAGAACTTGAGGGCAACATACAATACAATTTGACTGCCTTGATTATATTTTAGAGACAGCATAAAATTGTCACTTAATTAAAATAAGGAACAATAGATAAATAACTTCATTATTATTGTCACTTGTACTAGAAACCAAGAATATTTATATTACACATAGACATAGCTTATCGAGTTTCACAAAGCTTAAATTTCAATAACCATTGATACTATTAGAAATAGTTTACCTGTAAAGCAGCCTTAAGCAGCATTTAAAGAAAAAACAAAGACTGTAAACACCACTAGCAACAGCAATGCCCATAATTCACTGTAACAAGTTATTATTTCTATGGCCAATTAAAAGATAATTGCCTGTAATCTTCACCAAGCACTGCTGTTCTCTAGCACCATCAACTACTGCCCACTCCTGAAACTAGGCCTGTTAAGCCCCAACAAATTAAAATTTGAACATCACTGTTGATTCTCAAGTACCATCTTTCCCATATGCCCTCTTTCTTCCCCTTTCCTTGCCTGCAATTATCTTCTGTCTGCCTCCAAACATCAGCACTGCCCTAAAACCCACCATCATGTCTGCTCAATTTCACAGTTACAGCAATCCTAATGCTTCCCACCAACTCCTGCATGAATGATGGGATGAAGTGACAAAAACATTTTCAGCAACCTTTTCCCATTAATATTAACTCCTACTAAGGCTACCTAAATTATGATCTTAACATGTTTTCATTCCTGATTTACTCAGATTTCATTTACATTAGATTTTAAAAATTTATGCTACCTGAACAAACACAGAATGAATTTGAATGAAAGTAAGAAGTGTTGCATTACCTTTAAACTGGTATCTAATCCCTTTCAAAAGTACCTCCAGTATTAGCTCACTACCGGAGAGTTCAGTGGAAATATTTTTAACTTCTAGCATTATACCTGCAAAACCAATACTGATCTAGAGCTTCTGAAATGTCCAAACAACAGAAGTCATTCTCCCCACAACATGAATTATCTACATTTTTCTCGAACAAAAAGAATTATTGTACATACAAATCTTCCCAAAACAGCAACTTAATGTTATCACTTCTATATTTGTGTACAGTTGAACACCATACATTAGACAGCCTTTACAAAAATTTACTTTTGCTCTTCATATGCAATAGCAGCTGCTACATTCTGCCTCAAAGTGCTGCACTCATATTTGGCACAGTCCAGAAAAAGCATTACGTCTGACCGTAGGACTCTGCAGATACACAGGAGGGACAGATAGCAACTTCTACAACTACATTGAATCCAAGATACAAATCAGAATGAAGAGTTCTAATGAAACGTTAAGAGTCCCAGCATTCAAATAAATTCTGTTCTATTTATGTTTCAGTCAAAATTAAACATAATATAATGTTCTGTAATACAAAATTAGTATTTTCAATCCAATCCTATACTTAATGTTGTGTAAGTCTATTTCTCTGCACTACAGGTACCATCCCTCATGGTTCTGATGCAGAGATGCACTGCTGGGGAGAGATGCCATAGATAGAAAAATGCGTGTGCAGTCTGCCTTTTACATTCTGTCAAGTACCTTTTGTTGAATAGTGGAGTGCTTTTGCTCCATATCTCTCTTCTCCTTTGCAGCATCTACAGCCAACTGATCCAGCTGTAAAGAGAAACAGAAAATTGGATCTTTAGATATCAAGAGAAATTTGGCTCAGTAGCTTTCATAATACTGACAAAAAAGCCACATTATGTCTAGACATTTCATGACTTTTGTTTTATTTGCATAGTATAATTACTTCTCTGGTCACAAAGCGTTTACCTTTAATAACCACTGAAGCCTCGTCTAAAGCACTGCACTACCATCCTGAATTAACCTCTATGAAAGGTGTACATTTCTTGTAAGCCTTAGAAGAAATGTTTCAAAGAACAGCATGGTGCCAAGCATATGCGACTCTATACCGCATTGGTGCTCAGTCTCTGAAGAGAATGACTCATGCTTTAGCTGCTCCTGCTGGCTGACTGGCCTATGCAGCAGCACTGGCATTAGCAGCAAAAACTACAAGGAGCAAATGCTAGGGATTTTTCCCCTCCACAAAGCAGGAGGAACTGCCTTGACCAGGCTTTTGTATTGATAGCTTTGATCGGGTACCCAGCAGTATTTGCGCAGAATTCCTTGAAATCTTAGGCAGAACCGTTCAAATGTTTCTAGTCTCAGAAACAGCAACAATATGATTTTGCAAAGAAGAGAGACTGTCACAAGAGAGCGGGTTTCAGTTAGTATCCTTACAAAGTCTGTGATGATAAAAAAGACACTACCAAAAACTTGCTGCAAGCTTGTCTATAGCACTACCACATAAACTTTTTCCTTTTAAAAACCAGAAGGGAAAAAAAGGCAGGGAATTTAAGATATCCTGTAAGAGGGTAAGGTGGGTTTGTTTGGGTTTTTTTTCCCCAGACTTTAATGTTTACAGTGAAGAAATACAGTGAAGTGGAAGAACAGATGCTGCCTGAAAGACCAGTTAGCTTGGCACTTATGCGACATGCTATGGAATCTGATGAACTCCTTTAATACAGATCCGCCCATAACAGAAGGCTGTCATTAACCCCAGTCACGGGATCTTACTGAATAACGACGCAGATGCAGTACCGAACACAGTGGTACATCTGTAGGACAGACCTTGTTCTACTCCAGGTCTAGAACGAGGAGATCAGGAACAGTGTGCAAAACCAGTTTTCCAGCTGAAGTCAGTCACATGGCAGAGGGCACAGTATGACTAACAAAACATCTAATTCACACACAAATAGGATCACCTCCACCCACTCTCATAACAGCAAGTGAGAGCCCCTGCCAACTCTGGTCACTTTCCCCCATGCTGCATCTCCTCTGCCTGAAATGACACAAGTGAGAGATAAAAAGAGACAATAACTGGCTCTTACCACCGTTGTGCTAGACAGTTTCCAACAATTAACGAGCCATCAGACAGCTGGGACATCTGAATCCAATTCCATACACTTGTTTTTCTTAACTCTTCTTTCCCTGGCTTCTTTGCCTCAAACAGCTACACCAGCACTTTCACACCTTACAGGTATTTGTGAACATGAACACGTTAAAGACCTAAGTGTCCAGACATCATATTTATGTAGCAATATGACTTAAAAATGACAGAAGAGCCTCTACGCCAGAGACTGCGCTGCCACTATGCTCAAAGACTGTTTTGCACCAAGAACCCTGGGAAGCTCATTGTTTTGTGATAAACATGAGAATCAGTCCAAGGGCGGTTCAAGGCTTTATAGGAATCAAGTTTCTTGCTAAAACCTCAGATTCAGGAATCTGCACATGGCCCCCAAGAAATTCCTCCTCCTACCCTGCTAGATGAAAAAGAAGGTAGGCACATTCAGATTAGCAATTAGCTCTAATTTATCTTAAATACAAGTGTTGGAAGATACATTTACCACAGCATAAGTGCCAGAATAAAGTTCTTAATAGCAGCTCATTTCATCATTTACTTTTCACTATCAATACATTGCATCATTCCAGTTTCCAAGCTCAGAGCAGAATTTCTTCTTTTCACTTAGGTGAGCAGCACATCAACTGTCTTAAACAAGAGACCAACAGCATACGACTATCAAGAGCTGTGGCCAATCACACAATTAAACTATCAAAATCCCAGTCATTATATCACTATTGGGCAGTCTTCAAAAACACAAGTTTTTCAAAATACTGCATTTACTGCTAAATGTATTTCACAAGCATTTAACACTGACTGGTATTCTGTAGAGATCAAAGACTAAAATGTTCAGCTTTCTGAATAGTTCATCTCAGAATGAAAATTCAAGTAGGTTTTCTTTTTAAACTAATACCACATTTCATATGAAAAGTGCCAAATACCATAATTTCCATGCAAAAGCTTATATTACACTTGTGTGCCATTAAAGATTCCCCTACAATGATTTGATTCACAAGTAATCCTACCCTGACCTAAAATATCCAGAAAGCAGAACTGCTCCATCCTATTCCATCATGTAAGACAGTTATTTTGAAAATGCAAAACAGAAGAATTAAAAAACTATACTATTTAAGATCACTTCAATTTTAATACTCGAGGTACTGCTAAACCTTGTAATAAGATCATACACAAAATTTACCTGGGAATGAAAACTCACCAACAGAAAGAATCTGCCAGTATTTTCAGAAAAATCTAGGAAATCCCTATTTTACACCACAACATATCTTCTCTCTGACCTGTTAAAGGCAGAAGCTTCAACCAATACAAACTGCAAAGCCATTAACTGTTAAACTTTCGTAAGCCATTTACGAGTCTGTCTGTCATGAAAAACATCCATTACTTAAACGCCAAGGTCTGTTGCAAAAGAATAATTCAGCGAGTACAACTTTAGGGTCTTCAGTCTATCTTTGCTCCAACTGCAATATATTTTAAACATTCTCAGCTTTGGATTTTCTAAATTTAACTCCTTCAGTTGCTATGATACCAGCACCAAAATGAATGTTACACAATGCTCCTTACCAGATCAAGCAAAAGGATGACCAGCCATTCAAGAATAACCTTGTATTCCTTGCTCAAATAATCTCAATGAAATGGAAACATTAAAGTCTAGCTGGTGGCACAAACCACTACCAACTTCATTGTTTTTGTCTCCTTTCCCCATCCTCTCTTCTGCAGAGGTACAGGACACACATTCTATACTAACAAAACACTACAGTTCGACAATTACAACTCAAAATAGAAGGACATGAAAGAATAAAAGGCACAACTAAGGACAGTCATGTGCACCTGAAACTTTCAAGTGCAGCTATTAGACCAAACATGGAGGGCAGCAGCTGTACAGTCACTTCCCTTCTTGACAGCAGTGCCAGCTCAAGCAGCCTGTCTCTCTTCTCAGCTCCATCACTTCCTCGCCACACGCATGCACACACACAAGCACACACCTCCTTGACATGTGTTTGTACAGGTAATTAAGACCCACAGTAACCTGATTGGGGACTAGTCTAGCAGAAAAATAACTATTTGGACATTTGATTGTTGGACTTACTTTCTACAGTTCCCAACCTGCTTCACTGCACAGACACAGAAGCAGGTTGAGGGGCACAGATGACGACAGTGCTGTGGCAGGAATAACCAGCTCAGAACAATGTAATTTCTTAGACATTCAACGACACATTTACTTGAGATGAATGCAAATAAATGTTTGCTGTCATTTATTTGCTTTTGTATCTGGATAGACACTTAGAATTCGAGTTGCCTTTGTTTTGTGGATCAGGTTGGGAAGTGGCAATAGAGCGTTTTGCATCAGTTCAGCTGATGCAAGTCCTTGGATAGAAGGGAAAAAAATAAAAATAAGAGTGTTGTACAAGTATTTCCAGGCCCATTCAACTTGCACTGAAAACAAATCAAGACACTGCTGAGTCTTCTTCATGCACCACAGAGAGATCTTCAGTTGAATATTGCATGTTCTTAATCTACTTTGCATAAGCATTTTCAACATCTCCCATGTGCAGCCGGCTGTGCTCCATCTAACCTTTTCATTAGTCCCTCACTGAAACCCCAGAAGTTGCAATTGTGTGTTCTTAAACAAGAAAACTGGGCAAGAAGGATTCGACGTATGAACTCAGTTTTCCACTATTTAAATCAGACTTCTGTTTTATGGTCTAAGTTGCTAACATCGATTTTATTTTTGCCACACTGCATAATTTATACAGTAAATATATACAAGTAGAAGGAAAAAACTTAATCTACTTTTTATTGTTAAATACATTTATAACATGGGTTACATACAAAAATTTTTAGAACAAAATAATCCAGTGTCCTGAATACCATAGAGTACCTCCAATGGTACTACATGGCTATATTTAAGTATGTAAATCCTAAAGGTAGTATTGATTTTATAGACAACTCTCAGTTTCTAGTTTCATTCAAACCACTTACAGTGTATTTTTATGCTTTGCCTTTATCACACTACAGTTACCTTTTTGACTAAATCTAAGATATGTACACATACATAATTTTCATCCATTCCAGCATATAGTTACGAATTTTTAAAGTAATTTGTTACCTGTGCACCAAGATCTTTCATGTAGGGCCCAAGTTCACTAAAAAGGTCATAGCCTTGATGGAAAAAAGCCAGATGGGCATACATAAATGATAACATCTAGAAGAGAAAACAGGATATTTTTAAAAGGATAAATATTTATCAGAGATCAGATAAATATACCACTTAACTAATCCACATGAACAAACTTAGAATACAACTCCAGGATTAACTTCTGCTCTCTTGCATCCTGGCAATTTTACATCAATGTCCCATAGAGCTTCTAATGTTGTAAATAAACATGCAAGGTAAAGGCAGCAAAGAACCAAGCAAAAATCTCAGACATCATTTAATAGGATTAACCTCATTAATAAAACCCAAATCTACTTAAGGGCAGAAAATTACTTCTAGTTCATGTCACCTGAAACTTTTGTTATCTCCTGTTTAACTAGGACATGTAAACTAGAGAGGGGCTACAGAATATATTTACTAATGATCCAAAACCACAATCTTTATGAACACAGCTGAGAAGACTATCCAGTCTTAAAAAAAGAGAACAAGTTGGGAAGATGCAGAGCAAAATGGAAAGCAGCTATAAAGCTGTGATCCAACTAAAGTTTTTGCTATTTAAAGGAATTAAGGAAATTATGGGAATGCAACTTTAGACCTTTGTAAGAAAAGCACTATTTAATTTGGCAGTCTCTACCTCAAACTTTTTACAGAGATAACATGAACCAGAGAAGGGAAGACAATCAGAAGAAAATCAGCACACAGATATAGCTGTACATTAGCAGATACCATACTAAACCATTTGGTATATTTGCTATTACAATATGCTATTGACACAAAAAAATACTATTTTTGTAGAAAGAGCTGAATCCATCTTAGATTATAAGTACTCATTGTTTATAATTGTAATGAATATAGCAGACCTGAACAGCAGAAGTCTTAGCAGACAAAGTTCAATTTTAACCATGAAACACATACCAAAGAGTCAACAGCAGTGAAAATCTTAAAGTGTTCAAATCTGAACCAAAAGTATGGCCAAAACCAGTTAAGCATCTATGCCCAGTTATACTAAAGGCCAAACTGACTGTCACCACAGTGCCAAATGTACTGGTAATGTTCTGATGGGTAAAAGGACAAATTTTTTTAATATACTCCTTTGCGGTCACATTTTTAATTTCAGATGTATTTATTTTCTGTATAGAAGATATTTAAAGTATATCTTACCGATTTTAAGATTTCTGCTCTCCTTTTAGACTGAAGAACATTGATCTAGAAAAAAAACAAACAAGCAACTTAGTTTATTCTACTAGCAAATTTTCCCCACTGAAGTAAACTTCAAATTACTTCCAAATAATCATATCAAAGCTTAAAAACCCGGAAGAATATAACTCAATATCAGACTTCATAAAGCACTTTTAAAAGAAGATGCATGCTAGTTCTGTCATTATATTTAACTGATGCAATCAGAAAAAGCTTGCAAAGCTAGAATTTCACAGTGATAGTCTCAACTTTCTTATATTAAAAGGGAAAATATAAGACATCATGTGCTAGCTAGAAGTAATAATATACTTTTCAAGCAAGGAAAATTGGTACCCATTTTCAAGAGACTTAATTCAACACATTTCAAATACTCATTCTGACAGTACGAGCTAACCCAGCCCACCAACTTCTTAAAGAAGCTGTCCTCAGCCCCACTGCCATCCTCTGCTAGGGGAGAGGAAAGGACAGGGGCATGTTTGTTTTTCCCCTTGGGCTGACATTGTCCAAAGTGTCCCAAAGCTGGGCTATAGCCCCAGTCTCTGAAACAAGCAAGATCATAATAGCTTCAACAAGTAGCTTTTCCTATATACTTGCACTTTTAAGCTAGCTGAAGTCACTGACCAATGGTGTTGCCCTAGAACTTGAAGGATTTCACATTATATATAACAAAAATAATTGATGTTTCACATTCACTTAGTTCCTCTATCCTTTGTCCCCTAACCTTTAAGGTTGTCATCCAGAACTACAGATTTTACTTTAGAAGTCCCATTTAGCAGAAACATGCATGATTTTGTAATTTAACACCTCTATGTCAGTTTAAAATTCCAGAAAAAAAAAAAAGAAAAACAACAAACTTACTGAAGGTATAACCAAAACCAGATTGTACCTCTATACTTAAATAGTCAGGATTTTGGCAATAGTAGTATTTTGGAAAACCTTCTGCTGCAAAAATAATTAAGATTTGTTTGTATAGAACAAACCTTAAACTTACAAGGCAAAAAAAAATAAATAAAAGGAAAGCAAAGGTTTTGAAATAGTTTAAAGCCAATATAGCTACAAAGAGACTATAGTTAAGCCACTTTTCCAGAAGAAAAGAATCACCCAAGTAGAAAGAATTTCTAAAACTGAATTAATTTTTGTCCGCATTAACTAAGAGATGCTGAAACTTTTCCCCATTACTTTAAACGCATCTTTATCACAGGAGCTGCTCATACTTTGAGCATACGAATTCCAGGAGGCAAATTATCTGCAGTTCAATGCACACACAAGGAACCGGCCCATAGCAACAACTGCCAGCTTCCCCCCCTGCCAAATAATAAAGTGGTACATAATTCACATAAACATCAAAACAAACTTTCTCCTCAGCAAGTTCAGTGTTGACCACTGACCGCTGTATCTGTGCACATGCCTGGGCAGATCAGATCGATTCCACTTCACTTTACAGGTAATCCATGCAATTTAAAGAACAGTTAACTAAGCTTTAAATAACTGACCGGACTGTCACAAATCAAGATGATACCGCCTAATATAAAACCAACATAATTTAAAAGGATTGTTCATAGGAGAACCCCAGCTCCATTTAGGAGCTCCCAACCCCTCGTACCATTCAAGCTGCAATAATCCTGTTTTGCTGTAGTTGTGGGTAACTACGAAACAGATGAATTGTAAGCATCGACAGAAAATTTATTATTATTTCACAGGATTCAAAGTAGTAGCAAAAAGAACACCTCTCAACACTCTATAGGAAATGTGCACTAAAAAGCAAAAGAGTAGTTATGCTCTTGATTTCCCCCAAGGCACAATGCCAAACTCTGAGCATTCTAGACAAGTAGGATTTGTTAAAGAAAATCCAAAGCAAATAGCTGAAATTATAGCAATAGCCAACATCCTATATCAGAATTTTTCAGGTAATTTGTACTTCCTAGGGTAGGCTGCAGTTTTTACTTCAAATATATAAGGAACTACAGCATAGTCAACTCACAAAATACATTTAGGCAAGTATCAGGCAAATACTGTTTTTTCAAAATTAATGTCCAAGTTGAAAATTAAACTGTGTCATTACAGCAACGGCACTGAATGCCAAAGTATTAAGCAATAAGAATACATCAAGTAAATTAATTTTGCTCAGATTTAATTTAAAAAAGAAATTACTTGCAAAGTTAGTCCTTTTTCACTGAATCTCCACAGCTTCGAAGAAGCTTACAATAAGAACTAAGTATACTCTATGTAACAGATGGTTTTGAAAAATTACTTTTATTGCTGCACTTACCTGAAGAACATAATCCAGAGCTATGTGTCGAAAACATTTCCGTGTTGCAGTCAAAATATTGGTTGCTTCCTCTACTTCGTGTTGTTTATTTCTTTGAACTTGGGCATTTTTTACTAGAGCATTCTCTTTTTCTTCACTAACTTTTTCAAACTGTTTCTTTGCATCTTTAAATTTCCTAATATCTCTAAAGAAAAAGGAAAGATGGATAAGAAATGCATTCTAAACCATGAAGAAAGTGTTTAAAGATATACTAGACAGACCATGCTCGTGACTGTTATAGCTAGTTTCTTTGTTTTCATGTTCTTCAATAAATGCTCAGATCAAATGGAAATCATACAACACATAATAGAAGCTTCCCTGTCTTTCTCTCCTGAGGAAAGGACAAAATTGAAATCTAAATAATGCATCTCACACTTACTGGGAAAAAGCTTTGGTAAGCACTTTTTTCCCCTAAGCTTAGACAATGACAACATGTAATTAAGATTGGTAATTCATACTATTTCAACATTTCTGCAGCTGTATCTAAAGCCTCACTGATTTAGGGTTATTTTTGACAAGCTTTAATATGCACTTCTCAATTTATGGCTGGCGATTTTCAGGAAAGATGTTACACCAACCCACTCAAATCAGATATTTTTAATTTCTATACTACCTATAATTTTCCAATCAAAAGTGCAAAGTAACTTACTCTTTAACAAATGTCTGAAGCTGTGCTTTAATTGATCTTTGGGTTTGGTCAAACAGGATCTGAAAGAAAGATTACATAGGTCAAAAGCTTAGAGGTGTTCATAACTTTTCATTTTAGACATTCATATAGTTATTATGTAGAATTAGATGAGAATTATTATTAAACCAATATGTGTCCAATACCAAAATATAAACCTCTTCAAAGTGGTTTTGATACGAATAAGGAATAAAATAAGTAAAACAACACAAATCTCAACACCATGTGCTGGTCTTTTCTTAAAGACTGTGGTTATAGGGAGAGACAAGAGCTCCTGCAACCTTATTCTCTCACCCTATGTAAGACATGCCCACTTTCATAGAATATTTTTATAATGACTATTAAACAGTCAAGAATATTACCATACAAATATCCTTGAAAAAACAACTTTGAATGTTAAATAACTACTTTTTTTGATTCTTACAAACTTTCACAATGTAACCAATAACTAAAAGACAAATTAAACTGTAGAAAGAACATGCCCTTAACTGCTGGCAAAAAAATCCAAACCAACTGAAATTAATGCTGAAAACTAACATAAATGAGTAATTAATACTATGTCCTTTACATAATACATTTGTAAAAAAAACACCCACTGTTGAACTGCTAAGAAGAATGGCTGCTTCTTTTTCTAAGATTAAGTGTTCCAAACCATTCTTCTCAAATTTCTTATGATTTGGGGAGGTGGGGCAGAATATAATCTACTCATTCAAATTGTAAAGCTTGAGAAATTTGTTAAGTTTCCAAGGCCAAAGCATACCTGAACATTAGACAACTTGTAGTTTCTCTTATGACCCCAGAAATTCCAACCGGGGAATGAAAATGCACATTCCTTCAGCTTCACATCTGTCCTCTGAGTTTTAGGACAGAATGGAACATGTCAATGGCTATGGGACAAATCCTTTTGCCACTTATCATTGTGAAGACCACAAATGATGCCTTAATTTCCAACTCCTCTACACCTCCCATTCTGCATTACGGAAATATACAAGGCACGATACCAAAAAATAAAGAGGTAAAAGAATTTAAGGAAGTAGTAGTTGGCCCAACCGAACAGAATTTCTTCCAAAAGGTAAAGACCTTTAAATGGTAAATAATTTTATTAGACAAGCAAGTCAAGAACTCAAAGTTTCAGGTCAAACAATGTTTTCTTTAAACATTCTCAGTCTTAGCCTCCCTATTCACAAAGTTTAGGAATGAAAAGCCATGCAATGCCAAGTATTAACAACAAACCCCTTACCAGCTTGTTTCTCTTTTCAAGAAACACTGAAGAAGGAAAACATGACTGAGTTTAAGTCACCCATTAACACTGGTACTATACCCTCCATTCAGTCTCCATTTTTTTGAAGTTTTCAAGACCAAATGGGATAAAACCCTAAGAAACCTGCTCCAACCTCACAGCTGACCCTGACTTAGGCAGGCAGTTGAACCAGACATCTCCTGAGGCCCCTTCAAACCTGAATTGTCCTACATCTAACAGTAACACATGGAAGATCCTGTTTGTATTGCCACTTTGGGAAACCAGAAAAACAGACAACTAGAACAGATAAAGAACTTCTTGACAAGCTGGAAGTCATGCTGGGACTACTCCCACTGATGACATTTACGCTTGCCAGTGCCTGAGGAGTGCACCAATCAAGATCAATACAGAAAGAGCATAACCAGATGGGAACTCAACTGATTAGTGGACTCCCAGAAATACAAGCCTTGCGATTCTGCTTATAGTAATGAAGAGGAAAAAAGTGCTAGGCAGAAAAATACATATACATTTTTTCCCCCCCTAAAAGAACAGAAAAAAAGTGCCCAGATCATGATCTGACTAGATTTACAGCCTTTCCAACACATTACCTTTCTCACACTCCAAACCAAGTCTAAGCAAGCTGCTATTTGCCATAAGATGTCAAAGCTACTCCCCCACTGCTGAATCAGTGAAGAATGCTGCATTAGTCTGGTTCCTAGCCTTATTTGTAGCAAAGCCTCATATGAAAAAAACTGACAGCCATCCAGATCTCAGTGGGACCATCTCCTACACCTTCCCTCCTTCCTCTGGAGGATGCTTGCCTCTCCTCTTTCTTCCTCTAGCTTCTTCTCACTCATGATGGCTCTCCTGTCAACTTGGTCAACAGAGCTGTCTGCTGAACTAAGCTGATTCACAAAAAGCAACACAGGACCACAACACGTCTGGCAAAGCTCTACATCAGAGCCCTATAACATGCCTCACTTCTTACGTTTGTGCCTTTTGGTAAAAGCCGCTGTTCTATTCATTATGCTTGAGCACAGCATGGAAGCTGAGGGAAAAAAAGCAGGACAGACCTCAGAGTGGTCCTACTTAGATCTGCAAAGAAGTCTTCTTTTAATATGGCTCATTTTTTGCTTTCTGCCTTCAAACTGCCCTAAAGGGACAGTTGTGCTGTGCCAAATTTTAGCAGACTACTGCAAGCTACGATCATGTAGAACAATAACAGCAGTGAGAACATAGAAACAAGGTCAGATGTGTCAAAAAGAGCATACCATACAGCAAAGACATGGTTAAGAAGGTGACTATCAGCAAGAAGTGTGATGAACAGTGTAAAACAGGGAGAGCCAATTGGATTCATCTGCTCAATCTAATCTGCAGAAATCACTGACATGAAAGTAACACTTCCTCCCACTACTGCTGCTTTGAACCTTTACACTAGCTTCTCTCTACCATCAAAGTATCACTGTCCACTTACTCCTCTCTTTGCAGTTTTCATTATATTAGGTGTAGATATGTACACCTCATAATACAAAGAAAATCCAACTCAACAGTATTAACCTGATTCCCTTTGTTTCTATTCCCTTCTAAAAGCATGGATTTTTCTTTTTTTTTTTTTAAAGAAAGCCTAATAAGACAGTTTTAGGAAGCTAAGTTAATGCTAACAAAACTTAATTTCAGCTGAAGCTGTTTGAACTGCATTCTCTGTATCTCATTACATTTTAAACTCCTAGTGGTATATAAAAAAAATAAATTTTAAAGTGCCCTGTGTATTTTCAGCAATTTGGAGACACTTCAGTTGCTTTCCAGCAATTTGCTGGAAAATGAAAAAGAAGTTGTAAGGGCCAAGGGAAGAGGAAGAAAATCGAAGAACGAACACGTTCCTTTGGCTTTCAGGATACCAGACTAAATTCTTTAGAGGGGAAAAAAAAAAAAGTAATATCAGTTTTTCAATCCAGGCAAAACTGAGCTTTCTGATGAAGTCTGGCTTGCTAAAAATCCCTATTAGTCTTAAATCCTAGCATTTTCTCCTTTCTCTACACTTGTCTAAATCTCATAGTTACAAAAAAAACCACTACACACAAATCAGAGGTGCTTCTTTTTTACATTATAAGAGATGGGGGGAAAAAAAGTAGAAATTATTGAAAAGGTAATCATTATTTCAGTCCAGCAAAGAAATATGCTCATAGTTTGTCACTGCTGCCCATCAGTTTGATTAAAAAAGATGAAACAATCCAGTATTTACTCTGCCTTACTGCACTGGCTTTTAGCAAAGCTTACAAATTCCAAACAAAAAATAACGGTAAAAATCTGCAGAAAAGAGGATATTTATAAATACTTGATAAACAATATAAATAAAATATTTATAAGTATAAAATGAGAGGTATTTAATACCACTTAAACCATGATTTTGCAAATATTATCAACAAGAAAAGCTTTAGCATTTTTCTGTTATCAAATATAACTGGAGGTAAGCTATCATTGTCATGTTTCAGCTAGAAATACTTACATTGTGATAATTGATCA